GAGAGAAGGGTGTGATAGGTGAGGAATTGTCGTGTGTTTGTTGGTTGATCGGATTTCTAAATGGACATTTGAAAATGTGGTGATGGGTACAGGAATTGGAAGATCTGACAGATCGTGGGATTGGGGGCCTGGAGCGCCATTTCTCGTACTATGCGTTCGATGGACGCTCTGGAAAACTAAGATGGCATCATAATAGCACGGTCAGTGACCTCTGTCCTACTCTTCCCTCCCTCCCTCGTTATGGTTTTCTCCCCTTGGCCCCTCCCTTTCCCCGCATTCGCCACCTCCTCTATGCTCTTTTAAGGAAGGGAGGTTGCTCTTGCATTGCGATCCTGATCTAGGCTACGATCCGGACGGCCCGGGTACCCCCTACCTCGCCCGGGACCCGCCCGGGATGTCCGGCCGGGCGGCCCGCCCGGTCCAACCCCCGGGCCACCCAGCGCAAAATCGTGCGCAGGGTCCTTTCGTTTTTTTTTTGCCCCTGGGGCAGAGTTGCACCCCCCGACGGGCGGCGGCCCCTGACTGGTCAGCACCCTGCAAAAAAACAAAAAAACAAAAAAACAAAAAAACAAAAAAACAAAAAAACAAAAAAACAAAAAAACAAACAGTTCAGAACCCCTAATAACCCCAATGCGCGCGCGCGCGCGCGCGAGAGAGAGAGAGAGAGAGAGAGAGAGAGAGAGAGAGAGAGAGAGCAATTTGCACTTTGACATTTATCATAGAAACCCTTGCGGGTAATCTGAGAGGCCCTGCAAATAATAGCAGGGGCCTACTCGCTGCGAAACAAGCAGCTCTCAAACACATTGCAAGGTGGTAGCATGCCGAGTATATATAGTGTAGAATCTGTAGATTCATATCAATGTCCGTGTTTCAGCAGTTATGGGACCACTGAGCACGTGGTTATCTGGACAGTAGCAGACCAACTCACCTCGTGATTTTCAGGTCTTCCCTCCACCACTCACCAAATGTGCAAAACTGGAATTCATCTTCTGCTAGAACATGGAACCATACGCTGTCATATGTATTGTCTTTTGTGCAAGTGCTGACGAGTGGAGCTTGGCCCTTAGGGCCACTACTCGTAGGAAAAGGGGAAAAAAAAAAAGAACTCGAATGAATCTTCTGCGAGAACATGGAATCATACGCTGTCATATGTATTGTCTTTTGTGCAAGTGCTGACGAGTGGAGCTTGGCCCTTAGGGCCACTACTCGTAGGAA